CATCTAAGCTCTTTGTACCAAAACCTGTATTATGTCTTAATGCTGGCAAAAAGAGACAAAAGGGTTGGTAATGCTGCAAGATCCATCCCGTGGATCCTATGGGTTTTGTGGAAAAATCGCAACAAATTGACTTTTGAAGGGTTGTCTTTCTTGATCAAGGATATGGTCTGCAAAATCAAGGAAGACACAGAACAATGGTTTTTAGCTCAGCAGGTGGATAAAGAGGAAGAGGATAACAATGGGCTGAGAGCTAAGGACTGTGGCAAAACGTGGAGACCACCGGACAAGCCATGGTTAAAATGCAACATTGCATCATCGTGGGATAAAGAGAAAAAGATGGGTGGGGCTGCTTGGGTGCTGAGAAACTCAGAAGGTACAGTCCTTCTCCATAGTCGAAGAGGCTTCAGCTCCATTAACTCTAAGAATGATGCTGATCTCTCTTGCTGGTTATGGGCTATTGAAAGTATGAGTAGTCTTCATATAAGACGTGTTATTTTGGCGGTGGAGACTAAAGATCTTTATGATGCAGTTTTACGGCCAGCAGCTTGGCCCTCTTATAAGCTGCAGACTCAGGTTATCTTAGAAGCTTTAGAGCAAATCCCTTTTTGGAAGATTCACAAGGAAGTTCGTAATGCTAACAAAGGTGCAGTCCTAATTGCGCTAAGCGTGACGAGGGGGGATCGAGGACAATCATATGTAGCTGCCGGCTATCCTTCATGGCTTCATGAAGTGTTCGTTGAGGAGATGTACGTTACTTCAATGTAATGTTTTTGTTTATTCTCTGAAGATGATTGTCCCCGATATAGGTTGTAAAAACTTGATGGTTATATTGAATTATTCAGAGGAAAAAAAAAAAAAAAAAAAAAAAGAAAAGTCATATACAAAGCAAGCTGAACCAACCCAACTACTCAGACTTGCTGGGATGTTTTTCCTAAAACAAATGGAATATTCCTTCCTTTGTAAGATCATCACAAATAAAAATACAAAAAAATAGGTAAATATCAATTTTAGTGCTTTAATAAAATAAAATAAAAATACGTAAATGTAATACTAAATTCAAGCAATAATTTATAAATATATGTAGATTTTTCACTATCGACAATTTTATAAAGACAGAGGTGTTTTAAATATGTTAAAACTGAAGTGTGGGTTATGTTATTGCCGAAAGTGGAAACAAATACGACCATCCCACGTAGATCCGTATTTGTCGGATCGGGTTACAGATCCGAATCAAACGGACGGGTCTCTCCCTCTATCTCCGACCCTCCCACTCTCCCTCTCAACGCGACCTGTTTACTTCAATCTATTACGCTCTCTCTGTCTCTATAAACTCTGTCCATTTCTTAAATATTCTAACTTTCGTGCAAGCCAATGCTGTTTTGTTTACACAAGGCAAGTATCTCTCTTATCCTTGTCCCGATTCGTGGTTTCTCCTTCTGGGTCATTTAGTTTCTCTGATAATTCAGACAAAGTTCGTATCTTTTTCCTCGATGAGCGGTTTGAGAAAGTAAAGCTCAGATCTTTATCTCTGCAATTCCGTAGTTGTTTTCGAATCAAATTGGGAATTAACGTTGCTGTTGAACTTGAATGATTCGTTTTTTTTTTGTAAACCTATTTGGTTTTGTTTGGATGCTGACACAGTTAGAGGAAAGTTTTGATTTTTATTTGCTTCTTAGATGTGGAAACGATGGTAAAGATTTGAAATTTGAAGTTTTTGACTACACTTATTGGCTTTAATTCGAATCTGTGAATTGATGAGTTGATGACATAGTCTGTTTTCTCTGTTTTGCCTTCTTCTTTGTTATGTTGAGATTTAGAGTAAATTTGTGTTATATTGTCTTTACTCTTTAGCTTGTTCGTGAGTCAAAGTTATTAACTTTTCGATAGGGTTCTGAAGAAATTGTGTAATGATGTTGTGAAAATGTTAAAAAGCTGTATTCAATGTGTGTTTATATGAGCCTCATTCTAATTTTCATTCTATGGATCTACAGATCGGAATAGTTGTCTCTGTAGGCAGTTGTCTTCACGAGCAGAGGAGACATTGTCCTTTTGATTCTTCTTGAGCTTATTTGAGGAGAGAAAGAGAGAGAGAGAGAGGATCTGATGTGTGTCTCAATCTCGCAAGTCTCTAGATTTAGAATCCATTCATTTGGAAGTTCTTGCTGTGAACGTGTTCATGGCTGGTTCAAGAACAGCTCAAGCCTGAAGCTGCTTGATGTTAGAGCTTCTTCGGTTGATGGTAAAGCTAGATGGATCAGACGAAACTTGAGTACAAGTACACAAGGTAGTAGAAGCAACACTAAGAGTAGTGTGTTGGGAGGAACAATTCCTGTAACTAGGATTATAGATGAAGAGAGCAGGACCAAGATACAGCAGCAGCCTTTTGGAAATCTTCAGCAACGGCTTGCCCAAGAAAAAGATCTGCCTAAACTCCTCACAGTTATAGTCGCTGATCTTGAGACAACCGGCTTGAGTAGAGTGAAAGAGAGGATAATTGAAATTGCAGCACAGGATATAGCTGGTGGTGAGTACAGCACATTTCAGACTCTCGTCAACCCGGGGGATGTTCCTCTAACTAACACACATATCCACGGTATCAGGAATGATATGGTTCGTCGACCCGAGGTTCCAAAGTATACATTCTTCCCACTTTAGTACTCTTTGAATTTGTGTGTTTGGTTTATGCTTGGGCAGCTTACATTTGGATCAAACTAATGATCGTTTTACGTTGTAGGATGGAAGAGCTGATACCGATATTTCTGCGATATGTAGAGAGTCGACAGAAGCCTGGAGGTTATGTGATGTTAGTTGCACACAATGGGAAAACATTTGACTTCCAGTTTTTGATCAACGAGTTTAACCGTTGTTCTTATGAGATTCCTCATAATTGGTTGTTACTCGACTCACTCCCACTCGCTAGAGAAAACATGAAGTCCTTAGGTAACATTCTAAAATCCCTTTGCTTCTACTTCACTGTAATGCCTGTATAGTCTTGTTTTGTATATCTTAGTTGGTTAAACTGTTTACTCTAAACCTAAACAGAACAAACATGTATGTCGGAAACTTATAAACTTAGAAATGGGTTCTTCTTCTTTTGTTTTTGCAGAGCCAACAGTTAAGCCAAAAGCAACACTACAAGCTCTTGCAGATCACTATAGTCTTTCAAGGACTGGTGACGCTCACAGAGCCTTGTCAGATGTTTTACTCCTATCTCAGGTGTTCCAGAAACTCACCATTGATCTCAAGCTCTCGATTTCTGATCTTGTTCTCCGCTCTCACACGGCATCAGATATCGCGACTGCCATGGCCAAGAACAAGAAGGCCTGAAACATTGTAGCCATAGATAAGCTTCTTTTGGGATATTCATCTCATCTTATTATTAATGTATCTAACTCTGCAATTATGTAACCAATTATTTAATTTGATTCTAAAATCAATCAAGCAAAAAGAAAAAAAAACAGATGTAACTTAATTTGATACAAGACTCAAAGCCACAATCCTAATAAGAAAGATTAGTTGTTTAATGGAGTGATCATACTTCCAAGGAGAGCTTTTACCTGATTATGCTGAACCATTTCGTTCATCAATATGACATTGCTATCAAGGTCTATGTTCTGCTTGTCAAATGGCACAGCGATGATTCAGATTCAGCCGGTGGTTCTGCGACTGACCGTGTTTTTAAGTGGCAACAAAAGTTACAAAACTGTAAAGAACGATTTTGCTTCTACATGGGATGCATTGGAAGGACAACTTTACAAAACCAAAAATGATTTATGAAACTTTGATTAGAACAAACTCTTAGTGTCATCCTTCATATTCTTCACTTTGTCAAAAGGAATCCAAAGGCAACAAATCAAATGATGTATGGAACAGTTTACACATACTAGTGGACAAGTATGGTTAAATGTATGTGTCATCTTTTGAATCATGCTCTCTTCTGTTCACTCACGATCCGGCATCTAGAAGCATGACTATCAGGTCATGTCTTCTGTACTTGTCTCACTGAGTGAAGAAGCTATGAAGAAGAAGATATAACAAAATCAAAGTTAAGTCTTCTCTTTGGTCGGAAGAAACTGACTAGTTTGACTATTTTATTTCTTCATAGTTACATTACTTCTAGTATATTTGGGTTCCAACACTTTAATATCTTCTGATTTCGTAAATTAAGCTTGTTAATAGTAAATTAATTACTCTCTCCAAATTTAAAATCTAAGAATACACACAATTAAATTACATCTATGAGTTAAAAAAAAAAGATCTTAAAAAGTTCAAATCCAAAGAGAGAAAAAGAAAAGTTTTGTTTTCATCTATTGGGGAAAACAAAACAGCCAATAAGGTCACGAGCTCAAGAACGCTGTTTGCTTTTCCATAAACATGTGCACCAATAATAATGATTTTGTATTCGCTCACTTTAATAAAATCCTGCGTACGTTAGCCTCATTACCCTTTAATCCTGCGCCGTGGTCTCCTCTCCACACTCTTATTACCACTCCACACACGCACAGGCGGCGCGTGTAATCATCTCCGGTAAATCCGCCGCTCTTCTCCACTCTCCATCCACCGTATCGTACATCAACACAAGGCTTTCTCTCAGCCCTCTCTCGCTCCTCCCGCTTCGCCGGAGCAAATCGTCGATACATCCCACTACTTGAACCACCGCTACTTTATCTTCCACTCCCACGCAGCTAAACCTCACCGTTCCGTCTAACCGTACTTGTGCCGGTAACGGCGGACTTTTCAGCCTCCGCCATTCTCCGAACCCGCTGTTACCGCCGCGACGACGCGCGTCAAATCGCCAAAACGAAAGCTCCACCGCGTGGCTGCTTAACACGTAAATATACCCAACCGCCGCACACGCCGCCACTACACATCCACCGCCAGGAACCGAACGACTCCTCAACCACTGACGCGATTCCACGTCGAAAAGATCCATAGAGCTCGCGTAAGCACGCGCCGCCAACGCGCGTGAGGTTTCGTTCCCAATTTTTAAACCACCAATCACATAAAAAACTCCGTCAACGGAAGCTCCGATGCAACCGTACCTCTTCCTCGCCGATTGAGTAACCACAACCCACCGATTAAACTCCGGATCGTACTCTTCCACCGCCGCCGCAACCTCCGAACCACCACCACCTCCAGCAACGTAGATCTTCCCAGAAACCACCGCGATTGCGAATTTCTTCCTCGGAAAAAGCATCGGAGATCTCAAAACAAGCGTTCCCATCCACGAATCGTATCTCAAAACAGCATTTCTACTAACAACATAAACCCTAGGTCCAATCGCCGCCGCGCGAGCATGAGACAAACTCCCGTCGACACAAACAGACCTACTCGAAACGGCGAGAGACACTTTCCAAGTCGCGACGACCTCGGACTGAAACTGCAAATCCGCGGCGAAAAGTCCAGAATCAACGGCGGAGATCGCTAACAGAGAATGCCGGAGCATTCCCAAACGACGGCGAAGGTCGAGAAAGTAAGGAGAGTGGAGGAGACGAGACCAGCGGCGACATACGACGGAGAGAGAAGGAATCGAAGAGGAAGGGACTCTGGAGATACATTCGAGGAGCAAGTCGTCAGGTAGGGAAGCGATCGTAGCTGAAGAATTCGCCGCCGTGGACGACGGTTGGTGAATCGGAACTAGTGATTTGGCGTCGGAAGGATTTGGTAAACAAGATTTCATGAGCCATGAGAAGTGCCGAGAGTTGCAGCTCTCTGACATCAGAATTATCTTCAGAGAACAAATTTAATTCTAAAATATGATATAAAATATATAAATATAAATGAATCTGCGTTACTGAGTTGAGAGGGAAGTGTCATTTAAGAAAAGGACTATATAACATATAGTCATATACACATGTGACATGTATATTATATTAATTAAACTACACTTAGCTTGCGTTTATGGGTTATCTACTAAAGTACTAATCCTCTTTTAGTAAATTTAGTTTATTAAACCATGTACATTTGATGATCAAATATTTGGGTAAAGACAACAAAAATATATAGAGATGTGCAACTATAATGTGACTGGGATTTTAAACATATTTATTTAAAAAGAACACTTTGACTTTAGCGTCAAGAGAACATATTGGCATTGGTGGTGCACAGATCTCTGTAACTCCTCAGATATTGACTTCTTGACTACCTATGGTCTTCATCTACACTACACAATAGTGTTTGCGTACTCACTACTCTGCAAAAGAAGTCGAAACCAAAGCCATGAAGGCAGAACATACACTCTTCTTTTTCTTAATAACATCTTCTGAACTGTTTTCATTACCGATATAGAAATAATCGGAAGAAAAAAATACGCGATGTTCGGGTTTAAAGAATGAAAGAATTACGGAGTTAACTTTTCTTATTGATCTAACCAGGGATGATGGTCCATGGAACTTAACTTTTCTGTGAAAGAGACGTTGTTCCGATCACACGAATATTTCCTTAAGGATTAAGAGTAGTAGCATGATGAAACAGAGGATGACGAGCACAGACGCGCACTTCACCATCCCTCCATGTCTCTGCGTTCGCTCTGCCTGTGAAGTTTTATGCACTAAACACGTTAATTAAATTTGGGACAGCAAATGATTGGCCATTAATGTTGAAGTGTGTACAATATTATACCTTCTGCAGTTGTTTGAGGCCATCTTCAACAGTAGTACCGACGTTTTCAATATTATAGTCTATCCGATCAACAATTGTACCCTGCAGCGAAACGGGTTGTTTTGAGTTTGTTTTCCAAAGGAAGCAGACTCGGGAGCTAGTCAAAGAGAATATGGGTTCAATTAGTTTTACCTGATCTATCACAAGTGTAGAAAGATCCTTCATGATTTGAGCAAGATCATTGACTGATTCTACAACCTGGACAAGAAGAAAAAAACAGATTATGATTGATTGCATAAGAAAAAAACCATCGGTGAGCAACAAACAACTAAGAACATAGACGAAAGTACTAGCCTGTTGTATCTCTTTCTCCCTCTCTACCGATACTTCCTCGCTCTTTTTAATCTTGGACATCTGATTCTCGTTTAACTAAAATGAATTGGAGAATAGATTCATCAATAAAGAAGTACATAAGACAAGGATGGCTACAAATCTAAAGAATGAAACAGATATAGGAGTCAAACCATATCGCCAAAGTCATCTTCATCAGGTCTATATCTGTTTCTGCTCAGATTCATCTCTAAATCTACTCCATCCTGATAAATGATAATACATTACAAGTCAAGCTTCTTGTGAGGATAGAATAATACAATGTCCCAAATTTGAAAAGGGAAAAAACAAGCATCAAGAGAATCTATCATCTATGATATCCAAGTAAACAAGCTTTATCAGGGTGCAGCATCGAAACACAAACAAAAACTTCGACAAACAATAAACTGCACCATCAAAGTTCCTGGCATCAGAATTGATCAGAACGTTAACAGTTACAATCGACCAAGTTCTAGCTAAATACCTCTTTTTGCTGTCTCAAGCGTTTCAAATAAGTCGATTGTTTTTTGCGGAGCTCCATAGAAAGAAGTTGGAGATCAGTGGCAAGAGATCGCTGTTACAAAACACATACAAATAAAATCTCAGATAGCTATAACAATGCTGCCCAAAAAAATGAAAAGCCTTTAAAACAGATGTATGAGCAGCACCCATCAACAAGTCAAAGCCTACCTGCACGTTTTTCCTAACATTAGAATCTTCAGAAGGACCTGCTGCAGAAAGCCTCTGAAGTTGCTTCTCAGATTTCTTCAATAAAAAAGTGATCTCCTGTGTCAAAGACTCAATATTATGCTGATCCTCTTTACCATCTCCAAACGACGGCATTAACGCTTTGGCATGAGCCTTTCCCAGCTCAGCCATTTTAGTCCTCGCACGCTGTATATTAACAGAGATCTCCTCAGATACATCAACCCAAGCTGGTGGTAATCCCACTGTTATCGCACTGACACAAGCAAGAAAAAAAATCTCAAACAAATGAACCAGCTCTGTGATTCTTAAGTGTGATTAAGCCACACTGCTACATATCTATCACTCTAGCTTAAGCATCTGAGTTTTAACACACGATTACCAAAACCCTAATTGATCAATTCACCGGCAAAGAAGAAGAAGGAGAATGAGTACCTCGAATTCCCAGGATCTTCGGTGGTACTAACAGGAGCGTAAGAGCGATTCGGATTCAACAATGATGTGCTCGCCATCTCTATAACCGGACCAACGCCGGATCGTGTTCCCGTCAATGAAGATGACGATAATGGAGCTCGAACGCTCCTCAGAGAGTTCCTATACTTCCTGAACAACAACGTACGGTTCCTCGTCGCCATGATCGCCAAATAATCAAAAATCCCTAGAATCTCAATTTCAACATCCAAAATTCGAAATTCAGCTTTTAGATTATCAGAGCTTCGTCTCCGATTTGAAAACTACAGATCTGAAACACGACCGCGGCTTCATCATCCACCGAGGATAAACAAACACGAAATGTGGCGCCAAAATTGGAACACCGATGATGAACGGAAATGCTCGAAGACCGGCGAGATCAAAAACTTCTCCGATGAGGTTTTCACTATTATTTCCCCAAAATAAATAAAAAAATTTTTGAAACAGTAAAAAAAAAAAAACTCTTTTGACTGTTGAGCGGCTTAAAGTTCTTCTGTTTCACCAACTTACCAAAACTAAACCAATAAAATCTCGACACGTAAGTGTACAGTAAACAGCATGACGTTTTCATATTCCGAAAGTGGAATACACAGCGGGTAAGAGAATTAAACGGCATGCATTCGTGCGGGCTGTTGAAAGCGAGAGAGATTAGTTTAAAAAACTTAAAAATAAAAAGTAATGTAATGTAATAAAACTCATCTCCTCTCCTAATGTCTCTCTCACTCTCTCTCTCTATCCAAAGAATTAAAAACAAAGAAAGCCATTAAAGAAAAAAGAAGAAGAAACGCAGAATCGTCGTCGTCGTCGTCTTCGCATTTCGCCGGGATATTTTTGATTCTTGAATCGGAATATTTGTGTTTTCATTTATCGAGAGTCAAAGATTGAATTTTTTTTTGTTTTTTGTTTTGTTTCTGTTGGGGGAAAAAAGTGGATTCTTGGGTTTCGATTTGTAATAGTTTTATTTGGTTGTTGTAAGAATGGATTCTGATTCTTGGAGTGATCGTCTCGCATCGGCTTCAAGAAGATATCAGCTTGATTTCTTGTCTCGATCTGGTGAGTTGTAATAACAAAAAAAAAATTGAATTTGGATTTGTTGTTCTTTGTTCTTTGTCAATTAATCTTTGATTTGTAGATTTGGTTTGGTTTGTTTTCAATTTTAAATGTATCTTGATTCTATGCCAAAACCAATTATGTTGCTCAATTTGTTTTCTCTTTAATTTGATTGAGGTTGAATGAGAGAGGTTCCGACAAAAGGTGATGTCTTTGGTCTGAATTATTGAAATGGAGATTTGTTTTTCTGATGTTGAAATGGAGGAATATGGAAGGAAAATAAAATAAAAAAGTCTCTGTCTTTGAGGCATTTTACTTATGTGGGGGGCTTTAAGGATTTGATTAAGCGTGTGTGTTTGTTTATACGAAGAGTTTTTGTTTTGGTTTTTGGTATGAAAGTTGGAATCTTGAATCTTGATGATTCTTGTTTGACCTAGGTACCTAGTTTTAAAAATTCAAGAATATACAAAACTTTTTGTGGGTAAGCTTGGTTTCATCTCAAACGTAGACATCTTTTCCAGGAAAGGTTTATGATATGCTTGTTTCCTTTCGTTCTTTATGAATCTTGTTGTTCCTTTTATACCTCAATTCTTATATTTGTATTGTTAACTTGAGAAAATGGAAATGGAACGCGTTTTTAGTATTCCCGTGATTTTGTTTTAGATTGGTCTCTTTGCATTGTTGTTTTGTGGTATTTGACTAGGACTTTCTTGTTTTTCTAAACGCAGACAATTTCTTGGGATTTGAGGAGGTAGAAGGAGAAGATGACTTCAGGGAGGAGTATGCTTGCCCTTTCTGCTCAGACTATTTTGATATCGTGTCTCTATGCTGCCACATTGATGAAGATCATCCTATGGACGCCAAAAATGGGGTAACTATTACCTCAATACTATACAGTTATGAAAAAACTATTTATTGTTTCATCACATATTCACATGGTTTCTTGGTACATTGGGCATAACAAGGGTACTTTGTTCAGTAGTTTCTGTCTTGTATGTAAGATTGGAATATGTCGAAATAGGATTGTAGTTGCCGCTCAGTGTGCCTCAGAGAATAAATTATAAGACCCTTTTTTATTGTCAGGAGGGTTTGCTGCAATAGAAGATTGACATATTTTTTCTTGTAGGTATGTCCCGTTTGTGCGGTGAAAGTGAGTTCTGATATGATTGCTCATATAACACTTCAACATGCAAATATGTTCAAGATATCCTTTTCTTTCCTTCTTCTAGTTATATTTTATAAGATCATTTACTTCTGTGATTCGTTTCAAAGAGTTGTGTTTTGTTCCTTAACAAAAGATTACGTGACGCGGAAAAGAAAATCAAGAAGAGGTGGAGCTCAGTCCATGCTATCGATCTTGAAGAGAGAGTTTCCTGATGGAAATTTTCAGAGCCTGTTTGAAGGATCGTCGCGTGCGGTACCCTCTTCTTCTGCCAGTATAGCTGCTGATCCTTTGCTGTCTTCGTTCATTTCACCAATGGCTGATGACTTTTTCATTTCTGAGTCAAGTCTATGTGCAGAAACAACTTCTGCCAAGAAAACATCTACTCAGAGTTTTCCTGAAAGGTATGCTTCCTCATTCTCATTATGTATTCTCATTGCATTGCCCTTTCCTTTATCATTATTATAGTTGAAAGTTCTGTATGTTGCATCAGCGAAATCGCACAAACTTACTTCAGTGAACCTTTAGAGAATTTAGTTGATCCCTTTATTACCATAAGCATAAAGCTCTTCTGATTGTCATTTTCTTTATCATTTTGTAGTGAAAATCTCGTATTTTGGATCAATGAAATCTCAGAAACATAGTTTTTATGAGCCTTCATAGAACTAAGTTGGTCCCTTGTTACCAAAAGCATAAAGCTCTTGTGATTGCCCTTTCCTTTATCATTCTTGAGCTAATTAACATCTAAGTACTTAGTCATTGCATATTTAGCTCAATGAAATTTTGTATCTTTGATGAAGCATTACCAACAAAATCGCACAAACTTAGTTTATATAAGCTTTCATGAAGTTTTGGTGATCCCTTGTTTTAGCATTAACCTAAAGCTTTTGTGAAAATACAAACTGTAGAAGTTTCTCTGAGCCTTCATGAAGTTTTGTTGATCCCTTGTGTTACCTCTGACCTAAAGCTCTTGTGATTTTGTTGTTGTTGTAATTATACAGGAATGTTGAGAAGCAGTCTCTTTCAGCAGAGGATCACAGAGAAAAGTTGAAACAGAGCGAGTTCGTTCAAGGGATATTGAGCTCAATGATCCTTGACGACAACTTATAAAGGAGAAATAATAATTCCGATTACTTCTCTACGGTTTAGATCATTCAACGATTGGAAAATGTAAACTGCTTTGTTGTTGTTGTTATCACAACAAGTGAGTTTGTTGGGGAAGGGTTTGGGAATAAACAGAGAATAATGTTAAAAGAGAGACATGATAATATGAGTATTATTAACTTATGAAAGACATATTTGCTCTAATGAACACTCAGAATTGTCTGTAGACTGTAGTAGACCTTAGAAAAAACCAAAAAAAAAAAAACAAAAACATATATTTGGACTGAGTTGTTTTGTTCTTAAGATTTTCAGTTTGCTCTAGCTTTTTACTGAAAATAGTTTTGTAAGCAATGCAAAGACAAAGAATTAACTCTTTTAACTGTGTTCTGTAACAAGCTAACTTATGCATAAAACTTACCATAAAAGATTGAACTAAGGATTGTAGAGCTTTACCCCGAAGGGAGCTCTTCCAGAAATTCTCGAAGGCCCAAGACGAGCTTAGGCCCAGGAGGGGGTATGGAAATAGTTTTCAACCAGCAATAGACGCGCTTCGGTTAAGACCTCATTAGCTGCGTCATTGCCCCAAGCGCAAAGATGAGTTGCGATGAGTGAGAGACTCCTTATTTATACCCACACAATGCTCTGGAACTTTATACGTGCTCCGATGTGGGACTTTAGTCTTGGCTCCAATTATATTTAAGATTATTATTGTAAAAACAAAGCAATAATATAGAAGAAACGTTGAAAGTTAAAACTAAGAATGGTAGGGGCTGCGCGGACGCAAACCCCCTCTGCCACAAATAATGACGCAGGCTCTTCCTCAAGGGAAGACCTTAAGCTTAGCACCCCACGTTATGTGCAATGTGGTCACTAGCCTAGGCCACTCGTCTTCTTGATCGCGAGTTGACCCCGTCCAGGTAAGTAATTTTCTCGAACCACCTGCTTCTCTATTTATACTCCTGCTTCCCTTGTCATGGCTCTGGGTCAGAGCGATGTGGGACAAATTGTATTTGCACATCTTGCTGTGTTATGCATCTGGTTTCCAACACCGTGCTGTTTTTCTCACAACGGCATGAGTTTTTCTGCTTTTGTGTTGTACACATGGCCCGGACGATCTAGGCCCAATTAACCCTCCACAAAACGTTTTGCCAAAAATAAAAGAAGCACATATAGATTTTTTGCTCATCATACACATTAACTTAGACAAAAAAAAATAAAGAGAGAGAGTTTTCTAGATTTTTGAGTTTTAAATCATATGATGGATTTAAGAAACTGTTTAGAGGATATGAAAAGAGTTCTCATTGGAAGATGTTCGGCATCTTTGGCAGATCCATGACGAGTTTATTATAGTGTATTATGGTCTCTTTTATAGTTTGGGAGAAGAAGATTACAAGAGTGGGATTAGAAGTGGACTCAGAAATGGTAGTGAATTTTTTTCAAGACGGAGATTGGTGAATCTTATTCATTTGTGCCATGATTTTTTTTTATCAAAGATTGTGTTTAGGAAAGCTATATGTTTCACGGATTGATAAGCAAACTATACGGACCATCCTTATCGCACAACTCAATCAGATGTGTCTTTAACTAATTTATTTTATTAAATATTGAGCTAACAAAATTTAGAACTAATTTAAATGTGACACATAGTTTAGAGTGTCTTTAATAGATGTTTTGAATATCTTGGTAAAACCATTTTTATTTCTCTTTCCTGATGAATGTTTTAAATTTAATAATAAAAAATATGAAAGACACTACATTTATCACTAATGGAGGTGCTTTACTTTATCTTTAAGCTTTCATGTATTTTTTAAAAAAATACGTTTATGGCCATTGTTGAGACTTTGTTGAGAGACGATTTGTTAGGACATGCGTGTCATGGTATGTAATTTTCTCTTAAATTTGTAGAATACTAGCTCGGAGGTTTACTCCTGGTCATCACACAAAATAGAGAAAAGAAATGATTAATATTTTTCTATATTGTTTTCTAGCATGTGCATTTTGTTTCTATAACCAAAATATTTCAACCAATTAAAACCCTTCTACTTATTTTCAGTAATTATTTGAAATTATAGAAAATACCAAAAAAAAAAAAATTACAATCCAAGAATCTATAATCTCACTAGCATTAATCTAGCTACAATTGTAATTGCTCTACATTATTCAATTAAGATAAGATACATGGTTGCTATCACTACAATCGCTGTTATGCTACCACAACATCTATTCAAGGCCAAAGTGTTTAGGTCGGGAGAGACAGTAGACCTTGTTTGCTATTTTAAAATGTTCCAATCTCAATGATAAAGTAAAACACCATGAGGACCCTGTCCAAAGCCTTTACCAAATCAAAAGTGTTTTTTCAAGTACATCAAATCATTATCATCATCCTAACCTCTTTTGTCGTCTTCCTTCCAATCTTTAATAATTATGTTAAGCATTTGCTATTATATTTTCTTTCCACAGGGTTCAATTGGTAATGTACTCAAAACTGTACAAAAGAGCTGTAAACTGGAGTAGTAAGCTTTTACGGAATAGTCCAAAGTTATAAGGAAAAACGGTATATAAAACTGTATAAAACGGTATATAAAAGCTGTATAGAAAAAGGAGAGAGTAAAATTTTTAATACAGTTTTTGGTAAAGTTTTTGTGATTGGTAAAATCTAAAAACTGTATTAGTTGTACAATTTTTATATGTTTACTGATCAAAGCCATAGTTTTGTTATCTATATATTCAATCCAGATAACTATAGTCTATACATTACACACTATTGATTCTCATATAAATCTATTTTATTCAACAATTTAATATGGGTTTTAGTTAGGCTTCACTAATGTGGTTTTGGCTTGTAAGTAAATATAAAAATTTACCGTAGAATTTTGAGATTGGATATTTTAACGCTATTTTACTTATGAAAATATTATATATATATATATATATATATATATATATATATCTTACTATATGCAAATGTTTTACAATTCTTTTAACTTTGATAACACCTAACATCAATGATAACTATTAGCTAATAACACTAGATTTTTAAAGTCTTTAACTAAATTAACTCATATAAACTTACATTAATATATATTATATATGTTTTTCATAATTCTATTTATATCATATACTAAGTAACACTTAACGATATCTAAACAGAGATAAACATGTCATTAGTGAAAGTGATGTTTGGTCTGTGTTTCCTACTAATTAGGAAGCAAAGTGAAATGATTTCGTCCACTTAGCAGTTTTAAACAACTTTATTGAAAAAATATTTCTCCCTCAAAACAAAAGCTAATAACTGCCTCAACTATATAAAACTATGTACTTAAGTGTCCTTAATTTTTCACAAATTTAGTAATCAAAAAGTCCGATTTCCGATTCAATAATCTATTTTTTTTAATTATTAAGATCCATTGAATTGGACCAGCCAAAATCATACACACACGTATACCATTACCATTACACACTCATTGATACTGTACATGCATAGTATATCAAAAAGAACTATCATCTCTAAGCAAAAGCTATACTTTTACAGGTTGGTGTGTTCGGCAAAAAAGGGGTCTTGTTCATTTCTTAAAGTTGGTACTTAGATTTCTATGTTTTCAATGTCAATAAAGAGACTTTGGTATTTTTTTTCTAAAAGATATAATGATGATAATACAAATAATAGAAATTAATGTAAGATAATATCATCCCCCAAATTAAAAGCTTAAATTTTACACTATTTGTGAAAAAGAATTCAAGATTTTTTTGTCGATTTATGGGGAGATGACATGTAGTTAAACAGTGTAAAACTGATTTTTAGGCTTTAAAAAAGTTGAAAAAGAGAAAAAGAAATGTGTTTGTTTAGGGTTCAGAAATTGATGTTTGCTTTTTGTGAACTGAAAAAACTTTTGTGTTTGTGTGTGTGCCCTAAAATAAATCCTTACTTTAGCCAGCATGTTTCTGGGCTGCCTTTTTAGTGGGCCATTTAATTTCGGCCCGAGTAATTTATTTAATTTTATAAGTGTTAATCTAAACCATTGATTTTATAATTAGCCACGTCGAAGTAAAATACGCGCCTATTTTTTCTATGGTTTTGGATCCAAAGCTTGGGTTATCTTCTGGCTCTATGACTCTTTTGTTCTCAAACTAAACAATAAAATAAAAGCCACAGATTACTGTAAATTTATATGATTATTAAATAATGTTGGTATAATCTGGTGTTGATTTTATATAATTCAGTTATTAAATAAAAATTTTACTTGAGAGATCTACAAGTCTTATCTTAACCGAATGAACCCAAATTCAGTTCTTAGTTTCGGTTATTGGTGAAAACGGATTTAATTTGGTATAACTCGGTCTAGTTTTGATAGTACATTCGGTTGTTTTAATAAAAATCAGTTACTTGCAAAATCGATTAGTTCTATCTAAATCGAATTAAAATTGTAGGATAACCAAACCTATAGTATGAATCGATTCAGATTATATAAAAAAAAAAAATACAAAAACATTTCGGCTCAGTTCGGAATCTCAGTCCTACTCAAAATAACAGTGAAATATATTCCTTTATATATTTTTTTATTTTAAAATAGAATAAGTAAAATGCTGCAATAAAATAAAATAAATGGAATTAAATTTCTACATAACATCAACATAAATGGGAACATATTAGAAAAAATGTATCTACTAACATGTGCTCCTTAAATTAATAACTAATCACATCTTTATTTACATCATAAAAAAAAATTAGCTTTAATAATTTTAGAAAACTCTAAATACACAATATTTTCTTCTATAATTAACCAAAAAAAATTCAAAATTCAAAAAAGTCAAACCAATATATCTATAATACCATTTTTAAAATTTTATTCTATACAATAATTTTTTTGTTTCTTTATCTATCATTAATTATTATTATTTTAATTTCAATTTTTTTGGTTTTAATTATAATCAAACCAAAAACAGAAAAAAAAAAAAAAAAGAGAGAAGAGCGTATCTCTCGCGTCCTTTGCTATCTCCATCTCACAAGAGAGAGACAAAGAGAAAGTGAGGGAAAATTTTTCATTTCAAACCTTTTCTCTCTTTCTTCCATTGCCTCTTCTTCTTCTTCTTCTCTCCTCTCTTTATAAAACAAAATACCACCACCACAAATTTCTCTGTATCTCTTACAAAAAAATTAAAAAAATCTCCTTTTTGTAGATGGCGACGACATCGGAGATCAACAACAATGATCTTTCTACCTTCTCT